TATGGCAGAGTGCAAAGAGCAACCAGCGACCCCCCCAGAGTGTTAGAAAATCTCAGAAGAGAATTTAAATATGGGTCTGAAAGTGAGAGCCCAATAGGTTGGCGCTATCCAACATGTTTTTGAAATCTGTTCCTGATGAATCGAACTTATTTTGTACACGATTCCATTTCCCACCAATTCCTCCAGAGGCCCTCAAAAAACTCAGAAACAGTTCTAGGGGAGCTGAGCAGACTGCCTTCTTACCCTCATTAGACAAGCAAAGTTTAACCAACAAGATGTGAGTTTTTATTTGTTGGGGGAACTGCTCTTTCTTAGAGCTGCCTCTTCTTTCCTAGGGCTTTTTTGAGCTCTACCCAAAGGATAAAGAACAATGTTTTCTTGTCAGGGTACTAGCTAAGTGATGCTGGAAAATGAGGCCCCAGGGACTGTGACTGAGAATTCAGGTCTTTAAGTGATCTTTAAAATTCTGTACATACTCCATACTCATCAATTAAAATGTTGCTTACATCTTCAGTATGTGGGGGTGTGTGTGTGTGCTCAGATGTGTCTGACTCTTTGCAACCCCATGGACTAGTAGCCAGCCCAGGCTCCTCTGTCCATGGGATTTTCCAAGCAAGAATACTGGAGTGGGTTGCCATTCCTACTCCAGGGGATCTTCCCAACCCAGGGACTGAACATGTGTCTCTTGTGTCTCCTGAATTGGCAGACAAATTCTTTACTGTCTGAGCCACCAGCAAAGACCACACTCACATGCTATGAAACCCCAATTCAGAAAGTAGGTTTGTTTTTGAACTTAATCAAAAGAGAAGTTGCTTAATGAATTGATTTTAAAGTCATCAAACCATTCCATAATAGAAAGAGGGCTACATATTTAGTTTACAGAGCTCAAGAGAGTCATATAATTTCATGGAATTATTTACAAATAAGGAAGACTAATCAAGAAGTATGTTCACTGAATAGAAAACTAGAAGACAACTACCCAAGTGTTTGCCCACTGTGCGCCAGGCAGTGCTGCCTTCCAGGGCTAAGGCCAAGGTGTCCACATTGTACTTGGTCTTAGGCAGATATGATTTGGTCTTTTACTTCCTCAAATACCAGGTAGTCATAATCTGATCTAATAGAAATTATGAGAGTCGAAAATCTAGTTAGCAGTTTATTTAAAGGCAATACATATTTTTTCTATTTTGAAAACACTTTATCTCAGTTCCCATTACAGAAGCACCATGAACATACTTCCAGTCATAATTTCCCAACAGGTGGGTGCCTTTATGTGAAGGGGATGCTTAGCCAGAGAGTTAGTGTGGAAAGATGGAGAGGATATAGCTGGGTGGCTGTTGGCACAGGAGCCTAGACTGCAAGATTAGAAGTGCCTATTTCTCTGCTGAAGCCAGCCTGAATACTAGATGACAAAAGGACAGCAAATGAGGATGGAAAGCAGTCTCTGTTGATGCTACCTCTAGTGTTAAGGCTCTTGTGCCTGGTGGGAGCATGTGTTTACACTGGGTTAGGTTCATGATAGCTGATGAGCTAACTGACATGTGCTCTGCAAGGTAAGTCTGTCTTGAACTTACGCTTTCCTTATCAAAAGAATAGAGTTGAAATGTGCCCTGGGTTTGGGTCTCTCTGTTCCTGTGTCCCTTTGCAAAGAGATACCACTTAATCTCTTAAGAGATTCTGTAATGAACAACATCAAATTTAACAAAAGAAAGTTGGGCCATTGGATAATTTCCTTTACTGGAGAAATTAGAAAAGAAGCCCCAGGGAAAGCCTAGAATAAACTATCTGCAGTGAAACTCCAGTATTGTTTTTCCAATCCACTGCAGAACAATTCTCTTGCCAAATACAATAGAAACAAATTACTAGAAAAATTGAAAAAGCCACCAAATTCAAGCCCAAATTTTAGATTCAACAGTCTTAAAATTACTCTGTGGAATTCCTATAAAATTCCTAAATGTTCTTTTCTCATTTCTGTACTCACTGTGACCAAGGCTTACACTGGACTGCAAACCAGATGTTCAGTTTAGTAAGATGTAGGTAATGGATTATTTTTCATGGAACTGGCAAAATATTGTAAGCAAGTACATCAGGGCATAAACTTTGGAAATAACTCAAGGCCCTGTTCATCAGTGTTAATTTCTTAGGAGCAAAAGGGTACAGCAATGATAAAGACAAAATTCCCGTTTCTCAGAGAGTGAGTGAGAAAGGGATAGAAAATAAACATGAATACTTGGAAATTATTCATAGTACTAAGTAAGAGAAAAATTGAAGAGAATAGATAGATAATGAGAGGGAAGTGGGACTATTTTAAATATACTAGTGTAAGAAGTCTCCCTGAGGAAGTTTTATTTGCGCAAATATCTCAAATGATAAACAGTCATGTTCAGAGATCTATAGGACATTCTAGGCAGAGGACAGCCAGTGCAAAGGCCCTGAGGCAGAGGTATCTTTGACACAAAGGTAGTGAGGCCTGAGGTGAGGAATACTGAATGCAACTTGATGTGGCCAAAGTCAACTGTAGGGAAGTGTAGATAAGGAAAATGGTGTCATGGGCAGCCCAGAGGTGAAGCTGTGTGAACAGGTGAGTTGGATTGCAGCTGGAGAACATGCAAGGACAAGGAATCGGGAATCTCATCCATGACTTAGCTCAGACTCCTGGTAATGGAATATGCAAAAGATGATGGATGAGGAGCCTGGGAGGAATGGGCTTTGGAGAAAAGGGCCTGGCCTTATAGATGGGCAATAAGGAAGGCTTTGAAGGGAGCATTGGAGAGAGTTTTCTGCAGATGTTGTTACCTGGAGCAACGGCATAGAGACAAATTTGGGTGGGTTTTGTCATATTCAACTGAACAAACACTCTGATATCACCTTGGCATTCATACACCTTGGGGATTGTAACACAGGATGTGGCACGCTCATGTTTGAGTAACTGACTTCCTATAATAGGAAAAGGAGTTCTTTCATTTGTTAAGTGTTTTAGGGCCATGAAGACCCATCTTTACAAAGTTCTCTTGTTACTTCTAATGATGAAAGGGTGGAGATGAGCTGGTGTCCTTTTTGATGGGATTTAAAAGTTTCTGTTCTGAATGTTGCATCTTCTATTATACTTTCTTTCCTGTTCTTCATCCATCTGGCTCTTTTACCTAACTAAGATTTAAAGAACATTTTTTAAAAAGTTATATTGGATACAGTCAGGTTTTTAACAACGGATCAACCTGACAAACTGTTTAGAAACAAGATACTACTGTGTAGTTCTATCCCAGCCAAACCTGGAGTGAAATTTAAAGCAGGTCAATCCCTGGAGGGGGGATTGTTTAGTGGCTAAGTCATGTCCAACCCTTTGCAACCCCATGGACAGCAGCACACCAGGCTTCTCTATCCTTCACTATCTCCTGGAGTTTGCTCAAATTCGTGTCCATTAAATCAATGATGTTATCTAACCATCTCATCCTCTGCCACCCCCTTCTCCTTTTGCCTTCAGTCTGAACCAGCATCAGGATCTTTTCCAATAAGTCAGCTCTTCATTTCAGGTGGCCAAAGTGTTGGAGCTTCAGCATCAGTCCTTCCAGTGAATAATCAGGGTTGATTTCGTTTAGGATTGATTGTTTTATTCTCCTTGCAGTCCAAGGGACTCTCAAGAGTCTTCTCTAGTATCACAATTCAAGAGCATCTATTCTTTGGCACTCAGCCTTCCTTGAGAGTAGTCCAACTCTCGTATACGTACGTTACTGCTGGAAAAACCATAGCTTTGACTAGATGGACTTTTGTTGGCAAAGTGATGTGTATGCTTTTTAATACACTGTCTAGGTTTGTCATAGCTTTTATTCCAAGGAAAAAGTATCTTTTAATTTCATTACTGCACTCACCATTTGCAGTGATTTTGGAGACCAAGAAAATGAAATCTGTCATTGAGGGTAAAAGAGGAGAGTAAAAAAGCTGACTTAAAACTCAACATTAAAAACACTAAGATCATGGCATCTGGTCCCATCACTTCATGACAAATAGGAGGGGAAAAGTGGATGGGGAAAAAATATATATATATATAATTTGGGATCAGCTAACTGCAAAAAAGAAAGTAATACCTGTGAGTCCAAATTTAAATTGCAGTTTATTTCCCCACATTTAGCAAAGTAGGGTGAATTTATAAGTTTTGTGGTAGCCATATGGTTTCAAAAGCATCAGTTCTTTTTGAGACTGGAATTTTGCCCATCTTACTGTTAAGGTGCAGGCTCAAATGAAGGTCTGAGTGAAGGGTTGTACTTTATTTGATTTGGATTTTAAAAGTGTGTGTGTGTGTGTGTGTGTGTGCATTTAGTGGTAACATAAGAATAATATACTCACAAGCTATTACAAGGGCTTCCCAGGTGGCGCTAGTGGTAAAGGGCCTGCCAGCCAATGCAGAGGATGTAAGGGATGTGGGTTCAATCCCTGGGTCAGGATGATCCCCTGGAGGAGGGCATGGCAACTCACTCCAGTGTTCTTGCCTGGAGAATCCCCTGGACAGAGGAGTCTGGCGGACTGTGGTCCATAGGGTTGCAAAAAGTTGGACACAATTGAAGCTACTTGGTACATACACACACACACACACAAGCTATTACAACTACAAAAGGACACAAGTATAAATTTGTCCCTTCGGTTCTTTAACAGAATAGGAAATGGAGGTGTTACAACTTGCCCAAGGTCACACGGGTAGTTAAGAGCAGAGCTTACACCAGAGCTGGGACTAGTCTAATTTTTAGTACTTATTGCTTTTATCATGTGACTCCTTAACCTTTTATATTCCAAATGCTGAAGCTAGGTTATAAAGTAGCATATTTTCTTCTAGTATTCAATTCATGGAAGTCAATATAAATTCCTGATTTTCTTTTAATTCCTGATTTTTAAAGTTCCTTTCTGGGTAGTATTTGTGCAGATTTGATTATTTGGTCTCTGAAAATAATTCAACAGCTAATTAGAATTGGGAAGTGTCTTGCATTTGATATATTTTGTTTTGGCATTTTTAGGTTTTCCTCGAACATTAGTTCAGGCTGAAGCCTTGGACAGAATATGTGACCTGGATCTAGTGATCACTTTGAATATTCCATTTGAAACGCTCAAAGATCGTCTCAGCCGACGTTGGATTCACCCTCCCAGTGGGAGGGTATATAACCTGGACTTCAACCCACCTCATGTACATGTAAGAATATACAATGTACTTTCACACATTGACAAGGAGGTAAAACATTTCAGTTGAAAAGTGGGGGAACAATATGAATAGGCTATTCCAAAAAGAGCAAATATACATAGCCAACAAATATTTTAAAATTAATCATTCACTTGTAATGAAGGAATGTAAATTAACACTTTTATTTCTGTAGTTAGGATCTGGGAACACGTTACTGTTATCTGTATTAGGTATATGAAATGTTAATCATCTTTTAGAGAAGCAACCTAGCAATGTACATTAAAAATTTTAAATACATATTTTATTCAACCCATTTCTGGGAGTACAGTCTATGAAAACGTAAGCACTAGCATGTAAGGTCATGTACACAGTGAGGCTTATTTCGGTGCTGTTTGTAGTGGGAAAAATAAAACTTGAAAACAACACAAATGTTAATTTCTAGGGATGGCTAAATAAATTTGGCAGTGATCACATTTTGGAATGTTATGTAGTCAGTAAAAAGAAGATTGAGTTAGTACTATATTCATTGGGAAGATTTCCCAGAGAAGGAAATGGCAACCCACTCTAATATTCTTGCCTGGAGAATTCCATGGACAGAGGAGCCTGGTGGGCTATAGTCCATAGTGTTGGATGCAACTGAGTGACTAGTGCTTTACTTATTATATTCTTTGGCCTAGAGTAATATTTTTCCCTGAGTGTTGTTAAATGACAAATGCAAACAGCAGAGTGATTCAATTTTTGTAAAGCCATGACCACCCTTATTTATACATATCTGTTTACATGATTATAAGTGCTCTCTAGCTTCATAAAAGTAGGGATAAAGATATAAAGGCAGCCTGGGCTGCCAGTGTTTGGGGTTGGGACAGAGTAAGGCATAGGGTTAGAGTGAGTGGGGTCATCTGAGTAGTGAGCATGAGGATGTACAGAGATGAGAGAGAGCCAAAGGCATAGAAGATTGCCCTTTAAAAGACGTTCACAATATAATAACTATGTGTCTGCATAAAATTAAGTACATGGAAAGGTATATGGTTAAAGAAACTTTTGGTAAACTCATTTAAAGAGTTACTGTTCCTGGTAAAGGCATGAATTAGTTCAATCTGATCTACCTATTTGCCAATAGATAGTATTACTTGTTCCTATCTAAGTGTGAAAGGTGTGGCTATTGTGTCTTACTGGTTTAATGTTTATGGACTAGGATAGACTTGAATATAGTCAATAACAACTATAGAAAACTACTTCAAGGGGTTATGTATGGATGCCATCTAGTTCTTTAAGTCATCATTAGGTTCTTATAAGTCCTTTTCATTTAAGTTAAGCGGAAGTCTCCTTTTAAAAATGTATGTTATTCTGGAATTCCTTTGTAGAGCTCTTCCATCATTCCATCCCCAAAAACAAGTATGGGGAAAAATGGAAAAGGAGGAAAAGAGGCTTCTGAGTTGGCATTGGAATCTAACACAAATGCATCATTTTTTGGCCCTCTGTAGACTTGCTGATGTGGAGATTCTTGTAGAATTTGAGTTGCTTTCCAAAGCCTGGGTACCCCTGAAAGAGCACCTGCAGTTCAATGCTGTTTCCTGAGACAGCAGTGGAAGTGCCAGTTTGGGCCAAGTTGACCAGCTGCTGTGACCAAGCTCCCCTGGGAGAGATGCTGTTGTCTTTGCATCCTCCTTCTCTTTCTGGAAGCAGTGTTGTATTTCTGGGTGCTATAAAGTCCTGGAAATGATTCCTGAGCTTTGCAGCAGTAAGTAAAATAAAGGAGAGGAATGAGTGATGGATCTCCTTCTCCCACCCCTCATGTCTCCCGTTCCATCAGGGTAACAGCCCTGTAGTACACACATGATAATTATGTGGCTCACCAGTAAGTTCTAAGTGTAAGTTATATACTTAAGGCTTTGTGCTGTATTGGAATTTTAGTGCATTTCGAACTTAGAGCCAATTTTGGATTATCCAGTTGAATGACTGAGCCTTCTGCTCTATGCCTGAGTTCTGCTCTATTCTGCCTTTTGACAGATTGATTTCCTGTGACTATCTGTCTTGGTGGTCCAATAGCCATGGACTTGGCAGGTGAAATTCTGAGGTGTCCATTTTGCTTTTTGTATGCAGATATAGCTCCTGGGGAAGTTAAAGTACACAAAAAAATCAGATTTTCTTTCTCAGTTGCCAGAATGTTTGTTCGTGGTTATCCTGGGTATATGATTCATGCCTATTTTGTTCTAACTTTAGATGTCATTATTTGATTTGCTAAAATAACCTGAGTAAGTTTAATCTTAGAAGAACTACGTGATAGAATTTGAAAGTAGCAAAAACAGGACTGACCTACCTTCTCTTTGATTAGTGTTTTTCCTAAGGAAGCCATTTGGTTCTTTGAGACATTTGTTTTCCATTTTAAGAACTCAAGCTTTAGAAGGAAGCTAGTTTTAGGAATATGTAGAGGACCAGAGTGACATTGTTGAGGATTTCTCTGGTGTTTGTAGGGGATTGATGATGTCACTGGTGAACCATTGGTCCAGCAAGAGGATGACAAGCCTGAAGCAGTTGCTGCCAGACTAAGACAGTACAAGGATGTGGCAAAGCCAGTCATCGAGTTATACAAGTGAGTGTGCTTCGGTGTTCCCGTGCCCCTTGGCCAAGTGAAAAGGTGTGGCTCCTCGTGGGAGGGACAGTGGGTCGCCGTGGGGTGGTGTTTCTTTAAGCTTTAAACCTGAAAGGCCAAATACCTCTCGGATGAAATGCTGGTGTGTACATGGGAAAGAATGCCTGGTATTTTTATGCTTAAACTCTGATAGGACCACAGCCTGATCATCTCTGTGTGATTATAAATTTGCATCTAGACATTTTCATTTTTTTAAGGGACTGAAATAATGGTTTACATTTGGATACTCCCACGTGTAAATATATGACTTGGATAGCAGATTAGAAGGGACTTTTTGGCTTAGATATGGGATCTGGAGGGAGTTTAATAAAGAAAAGCTAAAGCTATAAACTACAGGTTGCAAATTCAGATAACTTTACAGGGGCCAGGCAGGTGATGGAAATGAGTGTCAAACCTGGTGGGGGACATGTCAAGCTGGGCAGTTGACTGACAGTTGAATTAGACAGCTCCTCTGTTGCTCGAGCCAATTATCACCATGGAAGCACTCAGGCTGAGTGTGGCCAGTGAGCCTATTTTTCAGAAGCAGAAGTCAGGCTTTCTCTGCAGAAGAAAATCCCATATTTTATAATATATTGGCAAAAAATTAAAAAAATTTTTCATGGCTATGCTGCACGGTTTGCGGTATCTCATTTCCCCATCCAAGGATTGAACCTGGGCCCCTGGCAGTAAAAGCACCGAGTCCTAACCACTGGACCCCCAGGCAGTTCCCTAAAAAATTGTTAATAGCTTGGATGCCAAACAAAGCCCATGTATGGACTGCATTTAGGACAACAGTGTACAGCCTCTGCTCTTGTAGCTTGTCTCATCTTGTAGCCCCCAAATAATTTAGCCAGCCTTTAGAAATGAAGTTCTTGACCATTTATTAGGATACATCTTGTGTTTCATGATCTATAATAAGGGTTTTAGAGTAGCAAGGTTTGTCACTGATTTGCTTTTCACTGTGTGTATTGAGGCAGATTTGGGGTTGTCCCTATAATGTTATCATGTTTTTAAAGGGGAGAAAAGTTGGCATGACAGCAAGCTTGTGAGAATTGCAGAGGATAGGGCTTTATTTAGTTATACCGAACAGGGAGTGTTGATACATTGGTTTTGGCACTCAGTGATGTGTGATGTAGACCAGGAGATCGTGTTTATATTATACCCAGGATATTCATCAGTGCTGATACCATGTCAAAAGGAAACCTAAAATGCCCTGTATGTTGGACTTTGTTTTTCAGGAGCCGAGGAGTGCTCCACCAATTTTCGGGAACCGAGACTAACAAAATCTGGCCCTATGTTTACACACTTTTCTCGAACAAGATCACACCTGTTCAGTCCAAAGAAGCCTACTGAGCCTGCGCAGTGGAAGAACCAGGAAGATATGGTCATTCGTTCAATTGTGTGTGTAGTATTGGTGCCATGTCCCAGTTAGCAGCTAGCCGAGATAGCTTGCAGTGTCTTTTCTAGTTTAAATGGTGAACAGACATGAAAACTAATGAATAGAATGAGTTAATGATGAGGCTCTTCTCTGCCTTTCTAAAAGAGGGGCCACCTACACGTGTTTAAGATGTCCCTGCACATGTCTCAAGTTCTTTATAAGAATGGAAGCAACATAGGCTGGATTCCAAGTGGTGTATCGCCCAGCTCTAGCTGATTTTCCACGGCCAGGTTGTTGCCATAGTAGCTCTTTCACACGTGATGGTGCTGCTCCTGGTTCTCCCCAGCCCCTAAAGGCTGTTGAAACATAGCACCAGGAGGCCTGAGAATGCCAGGGGCTATAGCTGCCTTTGTCCTGGTTCTCTGGCATCTGCCCTCCTGGTGACAGTGGGATTGAAACAGTAGCTCTCAGTGATTGCTTCTCTGGCCTTGAGTGACTGTCCACAGTTCATTTTTTTTCTGTTAGGAATGACGCCTTCTCTGCATCCGTACTCCATTGAATCTTTTTCAGACATCCTAGAATGAAAGGACTTGGCTTCTACTACTTTTATTAGACACCTGTTTTCTCCCTCCCTAGACTATTGAGTAATATTGTTCCTGCTTTTATCCCTCTCAAATTCCTGTCTGAGAGCTGAGAGCTGGGGGACGATGTTCGGTCTCGTTACGCACCAGGAACTGAACTGTGTAGAGGGTCTACTTAAACTGTTGGTCTGACTCTCGTGAGTTGACACTGCTCCTTTCTTTTATTGTGGCAAAATAAAACCCTAAGAGTCTTTGGGAAACTCAAAAACTGGGAAATATTCACCTCCATAAATGTTGAAAGATTGTGTCTATGTATAGAGTAAATAAGACCGTATGGAATTACTGGACTGAAAGAATAGTTTAGCTTATAGTGAAGACAAAAAAATATATATTTTGAAAATGCTGCTAAATATTGATGCTGACAGTGTTTTTCTCTTGTGAGTGACCCAAGCATATTATAAATAGTTGGTAAAGGGAATGGAGCCTATGGGGTCAAGGAAAATGTTGCACGTAGCTGTGCCTAGACTCATGATGACAGCTTTATGATTATGGGATTTGATAAAATTGTAATTTTTTATTCTATTCCAAAGATGCTTTCTATAGGGTGGCCATTAAGTCTAGAAATATAGATCATACTATTTTGTCATTCATTAGAATATAGTATCAATAAACCATTTATTAAGGATTTGCCTGGTTTCCAGACTTGATGGCCACTAATGCTCGCCCCCCTCTGGGAACGACAATGAAATTTATTCCTGTTGCCTTAAAAATATTCCTCTTCATGTATCATGATTGTACCAGCGAGGGTCCTTTACTATTTCCAGGAGTGACTTCTGTGTAACTCTTGATACTGCTGAGAAAACAAAAGCCTTTCAGCATAGGTGATGTTGGAACACATTATTTATTTTCTGAAGATGTCGCAGTGAATTTCCAGCTGTTCACTGACCCATGAATTCTGTGTGGTAGCCATGCATCTTCTCTACAAACACTGCCCCACTCTGGCCAGTCCCTCTCGTTTTGTCCCTTCATGTGAATGTTCTTTGGTTCCCTTAGTGGAAACACAGACCAGTTTCCTCCTCATCTTCTGAATCCAAGTGAAGTAAGATTATTTACTTTCTAGGATTATGCAGTTAAAATGCCCAGTTCAGATTTGTGAAACATCAGTGCATGATGTTTTTCTTTTGAGAAGAGTTGTGTTTGATTGCCAGTTGATGGGGATAGGGTGAAAATCAGACATGCAGATACAGCTCAGGTTTCCAGGGGAACCAGGCATAGAGAAAAACAAGTCTTATATGAGGAAAATTACACAATTTAGAGTGGTTTTGCCATGGAGACAATTTCCATAAAGTAGGAAAAGTAGAAAGTTAAGGTTATTATAGGGATCATTCAGGAGAGGAAAGTGTGTGCTTTTTTGGAAGCAGAAAAATCTTCAAAACTTTCCTCACTTCTGTTGATGTTTAGCAGATGCTCCAATGTAATCATGGGCTTTGGAGTTTTGGGAAGAGGTATGGGAAATGGCCTTGGTGATCCCTGACTCCATACTCTGCTCCTTCATCCTTCCGTTGGTTCTCCCTTCCAGCAAAATAGACGCTTAAAGCCAGCCGCAGAGTCGCTCAATGCATCTCACTAGTGTGTGCTATTTCTGAGGTTGCCCTGCAGTAGAGGGCAGTCACCTTTGCTAGGTGAGACCATAATGAAAGCCACATGGTGTTTCCATGGGCTTTTGAAAGATGATGCTTGTTTGATGATGTTTGATAGCCTAAAAAAAATGTTTCTGGTTTTCTTCAACAAAGTCTAGCTTTTCCTTCAATGATTTTGCACTAAAATAAAATAAAATTTTCTTGAAAATATTTTGACCAAGATAAAATTAAAGGGATCTCTTAGTTTTCCTTCTACTGCCACACGTGAGGTTCCATCAAAGCAAGGCACAAAGAGTAGTTTGGGTGGTTTCTAAAATTCTTACATATCCCTGCCTTCTCTGATTCTAGCCAGCTCTGCATTCATTTTGCTTTCTCTTATCCCCACCAGCTTCAGCTTTAGAACTTGAAAGCACTGCTGTGTTTCATATACTCTAACACTAAAGCAAACATATAATAGGTACTGTTTATTGAAGGCCTGCTGAGTGTCATGTGTGTACAGTTTTAGGACATTTGCAAACATCTCATTTAATGTTGCCAGCATCTTTGAGATAGGCACGATCCCGTGTTTATAAACAAAGCGAGGGTCGGCAGAGTAAAGCGTCGTGCCCTGGCTTCTGCTGCCAATGTGCAGTGTAGACAGACTTGAACCCGGGTTTCCTGGCTCTGCTCCTAGATGTTAACTCCCTGCATCCTGTCTCAAGGAACACAGGGCTCTGAGCTTGCTTGTATTTCCAAGTGGCCTCACATCCAGAATGGCGGTGTTCACTCTGGTGACATCCACCTCTGTATGAGAGTGTTCCTTTTCCTTTTTCCCTTTTGCTTAAGCAAAGGAAGCTGCCAGAGGAGAGTCTGAGCCCTTGATCATCTGTAACTGCTCACTTAAAAGTAAAATGAGGGCTTCCCTGGTGGTTCAGCTGGTAAAGAATCTACCTGCAGTGCAGGAGACTTGGGTTTGATCTCTGGGTTGGGAAGATCCCCTGGAGAAGGGAACTGCTACCCACTCCAGTATTCTGGCCTGGAGAATTCCATGGATTGTATAGTCCATGGGGGTCGCAAAGAGTGGGCCATGACTGAGCGGCGCTTACTTTTGTACGTAAGTAAAATGAAAGACTGTCTAAGTAGGCCTGGCTCGGGTCCAGGCTACTCTGTGGCAGCGGCAAGCTCATGGTCCTCACTTGTTCTCTCGGTGTCCATGGTTTCGTGGCCCCGAAGGGACCTTGGTGCTTGTGCCACCCCAGCCGTGGTGCTCACACACTCCCCTAGACTCCTGGGAGCCCTCCAGACACTGCTCAATACTTTATTTCCCTGACATCAGAACAAATGACTCCCTTGCCTCTACCCCCAGACGTGGCCCCCATAGATCTTTCCTGCAGTGCTAGTCGGTGGACGGATGGTGATTGAGCTCCTAATCCAGGGTCATCCTAGACTTTAATATCATCCTCCCTGTGTGACATTGCACATTAACATGGTCCTGAATGCCACATCCACATCTTTGCCTGCCCTCTGATGTGGTGGCACTGCTTATCGCTTACAGTTCTGGCAGAAATGGCTTCCCATCTCACCTGCCTTCTCCAGGGTGACTCAGTACCTTCCAATAGCTCAGCTCAGATGAGCTCCAGCTTCATCCAGGGTGTGCCCCTCTCTTTGGTAGGGAGGGGAAAAGGTAAGAATAGGCACAGGCGATGGAGGATTCTTGGGAGACGTGATGCTGTGGCCTCTCCTGCCATTTCTAGGTTGAGTTTTTTTCTTTTCTGGCCACACCATGAAGCATGCAGAACTTACCCAACCAGGAATCGAACCTGTGCCCTCTGAAGTGGAAGTGCGGAGTCTTAACCACTGGACTGCCAGGGAAGCCCTATAGGTTGTTGATAAATTCTGATAGAAAGATGCCTATGTAAACCCATAAATAGAGTTTTTATACTTTTTAAATCACTGGAAACTGAGTTCAATATCTGATTTTGGTTATTTGTTTAAAGAAGTTTTAACCACCTGCTTGTGGTGTGTGTGTGGGGCAGGGAGGGGAGGGAGAAGTCTTTGCTTAAATCATAAAGACAGCAAATTTCCAAGTATGTTCAGGTATCAGAAGGGCTTGGTAGTCACTGTTTATTGGTGCTATGTGCACTCCATCCATTATCTAATTAAATCCTCAATAATTAGCCTATGTAATAGTATTATCTCAATTACCTTGCCGCCTCGTGTTTTAAAACTGAAATGCTCCTGTTTACTTAACCTTTTCCTATATGTATAGGAATTAATCAGGAAATTCAAAAAGGCTTTTTTTGTGTTTTTCTAGTTTGAGCTCCCTATTCTCATGAATAGATGAAGCAGTGTATTTGCTCCCACCTGGAATCTTTGCTTTTGGCCCTAGTGCCGAGACCGGAAATGGGCATCAGTGGGTCCTGGTGGTAGCCGCACGCTGTGTATACAGAGGACAGGGTTTCATCTGTCTTCTGCTGGGTCACAGGGTCTCGGGAGGCATTCATATCTACCTGGTGGACGTCATGTATTGCTTTTCACTTAATAGACAATATCTTTTCTTGCTGCAGTAATTTTGCCAGAAAGGCAATTCGTAAGACAGAGTCATGTCTATAGTATGAATTGCATTCTATTCCCCTCCATTTTCAGTAACTCCCTCGTCTGTTTGGTGTTTCAGAAGAGGAACCCAGTAACAAACACCTTTTCATGTGGGAATGTGGTCTGGTCATAAGGTTCCTTTCCTTATATAACTGACCCAGTCTGGTTTCCAGATGCAAAGTGTGCAAGACCCAGATGATGGGGAAACCGTGAAGCCGTATTTCAACTGTGAGGAAAATTTGCTTCCTGCGTCTGTTGAGATATAATTACAGTTGCTGATAAATGCCATACCTTATCTTTCTTTTAACAAATTGCACGATTCTTGCCAAAATAAATGTCATTATCTGTATGCTTCAGGAAATTCCCTAAATTGGTGTGTGTGTGAGAGAGAGAGAAAGAGAGGTGGTGTGTGTTTTGGGGGCAGGGGGGTGGGGGAGTGGTGGATATATTCATTCCTTCTTTGGTGATAATTAGGCTATTCTATAAAGCACAGTGTCATTTTTGAAATAAAAGATTTCCTGTTTAAACACATGTCAAAAGAGCATTGTACCTTGAAGATTCTCACTGGGATTGATGTGTGTCTAATTTCATTTCATAAAACCTTTCTCTTGAGACAGAAATGTGCTAAATAAAAACAAAGTTTTGTGTTTAATTTAGAGAAGAATAAAGGGAAGAAAAATGAAAACTCAATCTTTGTGTCAGCCCCAAGGTGTCAGGCATAGAAGGCTTTCCTAGTTTTATGAGAATTTGTACTACTGATTTTTATATATTCTTGTTTTTGAGACGAGTAGATCTCGGGAAATTGTTGCATTACAATGGCATTTCACTGTGATTCGTCTCAAGCTCAAATCAGTTCTCTAACCTAATGACAACTCGCCTCTGGTTTACTCTCCTGTGAAATGTCAGCTCCATTTTCCCAGAAGTCGTGTGTTTACAATGAGTCAGTGCTTTTCCTCAGTGTGGAAGTTATCAGTCCTTTTGATTTTGGTGTATGTGCTTAATTCAAAGTATCTAAACCTGTAGTCTAATCTGTACATGCTCTGTTAATTGTGTTATTGATGATTTTATCTGGCTTGAAGATTGACTCATACTTTTTAATTTGATAGAAATAAAGTTTTTTCTGCTTATAACTAGTGAATTCATTTAATATTTCTATATAGCCTTATATACTTGGCAGTACACACTTTCACAAATACTCTCATTTATGCCACTCTGCAACCTTCCCATTATCAACAATGTTTTCTCCACTTTGAAGATGGGGAAAACCGAGAAGGCAGTGTTCCCTGGATGACGTGATAGTTGGATGGCAGAGCAAGACCCCAAATCCAAGATTTATGACCCCCCCCCCCCCCCCCGTCTCATTTCCTGCTATACTTTGTTGCCTCACTTTGTTTACCTTCAAACTCCTTTATTTTCCAGCACTTTATTCTTTACCTATTTCCATGGACATTCTTTATTTTTGAAACAACTGGATGATGTAAGTAGATCCCATCCTACAGGTAAGGAGACTGGATCAGAGTGCCTGGTTCTAAGGTCATCCCTTCGAGGCTGACCCGGCAGAAGCAATAGCTCCAGCAGACCTCTCTGGTGGGAGCTTGAGGTGTAGAGAAAACAGAGCCTTTGAAGGAGAATCTTCCTGTGACAGGGACGGGGGCACATGCCCTGGCTTCTCCCAACCTCTCCTATCTTCAGGGACTTTCCATTAGCTGAAGTCAGATGCCAGCTGACGCAGCAACTTGTTCGCCAGGCTTCCGTGTCCCTGAAAGGTGAACTGGACCTAATGGCAATGTGTGACATTGTTTTAAAGTTCAAACCATTCACTTTTTAGGAGGATTTTATCTTGGCCACATTGGCTTAACGATTGGGTATATAATGTGCTTTAACCACTGGAGGTGAGCAGAAATGAAGGTGTTGCTTCTGAGTAGAAGCCTTAGGACCAGAGGATGGGTACCTATCTCTCCATCTGCACTGAAACTTGGAAGCTTTATGGGGCTTTTCTTTTACCTGAATCCTAAAGTGAAGAAGCAGAGACATTCCTTTGCCAACAAAGTTCCATCTAGTCAAGGCTATGGTTTTTCCAGTAGTCATGTATGGATGTGAGAGTTGGACTATAAAGAAAGCTGAGCACCGAAGAATTGATACTTTTGAACTGCAGTGTTGGAGAAGACTTTTGAGAGTCCCTTGGACTGCAAGGAGATCCAACCAGTCCATCCTAAAGGAGATCAGTCCTGGGTATTCATTGGAAGGATTGATGTTGACGCCGAAACTCCAATACTTTGGCCACCTGATGCGAATAGCTGACTCATTGGAAAAGACCCTGAAGCTGGGAAAGATTGAAGGCAGGAGGAGAAGGGGATGACAGAGAATGAGATGGTTGGATGGTATCACTGACTCAGTGGACATGAGTTTGAGTAAACTCTGGGAGTTGGCGAAGGACATGGAGGCCTGGCATACTGCAGTCCATGGGGTTGCGAAGAGTCGGACATGACTGAGTGACATAACTGAACTGAACATATGCCAGATGGATGTCAGAACTGTGTGAGGCAGGACTGGAGTGATAAAGATAAGACCAATTTGAATTGGGAAGCTGTATTGACCTGGTCTCAAAATTCACAGCAGACTATGCTGAGAAGAGACTCATCTGATTTGCATGATGTAATTGTACTACAGGTCTGAACTAAGATGTGATAGTAGAGTTCAACAAAAAGGGGTGGTTGTATTATATTATTCTGAAATGGGAGCCACTGTGTGAAATCTTATTTTTAAGTATTGGCAATTTAAACTTTTTAAAAACACTGCACAGGCCGAAGAGCATATCTCTTTAAGCTGATGTGGGACTTCTGGATGAGAAGAACACAGGAGGTAGAAAAGAGGGTCTTAGTGGCTGGATGGCCATGAAGTAAGGGGGTAGGGTATACAAGGGCAAAGGGTTTGAAGGAGAGGATTTCTAATTTTGATGGCCAAATAAAAGCTTATTTATATAGAATTCTGATTTATCAGAGAACACTACCTGTTTAAATAACTTGAGGTTTTTCCCCCCCAGAGTTCAATTTGGTTTAATTTTCTCCATATTCATTTCAGCCAGTGAATATGTAAGCAACTAATAATTAAATGAAAAACATGCTCATACTTGAGGGAACCTACCTAAACTGGATATGTTGTATATGTGTTTTATTTATGTGCATATTTTATATGTGCATATAAATATATGTATTATGTAGTCATTCAGTTGTGTCCAACTCATTTGTGACCCCACGTACTGTAGCCTGCCAGGCTCCTCTGTCCATGGGATTTTCCAGGCAAGAATACTGGAGTGGGTTGCCATTCCTACTCCAGGGGATCTTCCCAACCCAGGGACTGAATTCCTAACCCCTGCATTGACAGGTGGATTCTTTCCTATTGAGTCACCAGGGAAGGGCACACACACACACACACACACACACACACACACACACACGTATATGTAAGTATTATATGTGTGTGTACATATATGCACGTGTAACAAGATTACAGTTATTGAAGATATACTCTGGTGTCACACAGTGGACCAAATGTTGTACACCAGTTATAGATGATGAACCTCAGGGTTAGAGAAAGGAAGACTTCAACTCCAGTGCTCAGGTATGATTATTCAGCTGTTCTTCCTCATTCTGACTCTCACTAGTCAAAGATCCAGAGGGACCTGAAAATTTATTACCTAAAAATTTATATATGTTGGCATTTATCAATTGAAATTAGATGGTGAGGACTCTGAAGATGACAGTTGCCTAAGTCTTACCCTTTCTCTATATCTTCCCCAAACTATACAGATCAAGGGAAGCAAATAAAATCACAATTAACTCACTACATAACACAATTATATCTACCACATAACCAGGTAAGGGCCCTGCGGTCAGGGCTCCTTTGGCCTTGGGCAGGACTTGCAAGAGTCTGGGTGGAGATCCTTGCCACTTGGAGACGACTAGGACCTGAGCAGTGTTGAGTCTTTCCTGTGGCCAGCTTTTCTCCCAGCCAGGATCCTGGCATCAGTCCCTTTACGAGGCAGAAAGAGCTCCCATGGAGAGATTAAATCTTCTAACCCATCAGGAGTTGCCATGTTGCACCCCCCATTCTAAGTCTATGCAACCCTGAGAAAGTGATTTCCTGTCAAGGAAGAATCAGGGATACTAATCTGTGTCCAGATTAGTCAAGACGGATCAGTCACTCTCTTCACAGTAATGGCCCAAATACACTGATCACCCTCGAGCCACTGACTGTGTTATATTACAACCACCTTGGGTCCAGCAGTAGGGGAGAAGTGGGTGCAGGCTAGCATTCCTTAAAGACCTGAATAAATCATCTGTATTTTATCTGTATTAAACTGTTACGTTCCCCCTGTATTAAGCCAGTGTGCTGTGCTTAGTCGCTCAGTTGTGTCTGACTCTGCGACCCCATGGACTGTATGTAGCCTGCCAGGTACCTCTGTCAACCGGGATTCTCCAGGCAAGAATACTGGAGTGGGTTGCCATGCCCTCCTCCAGGGGATCTTCCCAACCCAGGGATCGAACCCATGTGTCTTGCATTACAGGTGGATTCTTCACCTTCTGAGGCGCCAGGGAAGCTCATATTGAGCCAATAAAATAATTCTTTAGTGCTCATATGAAAAGCTTGGGCTTCCCAGGTGGCGCTAGTGGTAAAGAACCTGCCTGTCAATGCAGGAGACATGAGAGACTCAGGTTCAATCTTTGGTTTGGGAAGATCCCCTGGAAAAGGCATGGCAATCCTCTCCAGTATTCTTACCTGGAGAATCCCATGGACAGAGGAGCCCGGCAGGGTATAGTCCATAGGGTTGCAGAGTTGGGCATGACCAAAGTGACTTTGCATGCATGCATGCAGGAAAACATTACCTAAAAATTTATGCATGTTGGCATTTATCAATTGAAGTTAGATGGTGAGGACTCTTTGAAGATAACAGTTGCCTGAGTCTTACCCTTTATATCTTTCCCAAACTATACATATCAAGGAAAGCAAATAAAATCACAATTAACTCACTACATAACACAGTTCTATCTACCACATAACCAGAAAACAAACTCTTATTGTATTTGAGTGGAGAAATATCCCTAAGAGCACTGCCTATGGAGCCCATTTGAAAATGGAGGCTGGGATTAGTTGGAAAAAGGAGAGTGCAGTGACATTTAGAGAGTCCCAACACTAAGTGGAAAAATACTGAGAAGAGCCATTCTGGATTAGGGCTCTCACTAATGGGGGAAGAAAGAGTCTAATAAACATGTATGTAGAGGTGCAGCTTCTGGGAGAAAACAAGGAACTTAGAAGGAGGAGACATCTCTTGGAGATATAGTAACAAGTGGGAAAAATAAAGAAGTTGGTAGAAATTACAGTTTCTAGAGAAATGAGAGTTTCATTAAATCTAATCATACTGCTGCTGCTGCTGCTAGGTTGCTTCAGTCGTGTCTGACTCTGTGCGACCCCATAGATGGGTCCCTGGAATTCTCCGGGTTGCCATTTCCTTCTCCAATGCATGAAAGTGAAAAGTGAAAGTGCAGTCTCCCAGTCGTGTCCAACTCTTAGCAACACCATGGACTGCAGCCTACAAGGCTCCTCCATTCATGGGATTTTCCAGGCAAGAGTACTGGAGTGGGTTGCCATTGTCTTCTCCATACTAAACTCTCCCTAATCCTCCTCCCCTATCCTCCAAAAAGCTAGTCATTAAAGAAACTGTATTTCACTGTACCAACTGAAGAGGGCACTCTTGAACTAAGAAACTAGTAAGTCACTCAAATCCTTCAACCCCATCCATGGAAACATCTGGTCCAGGAAAATCCAAAAGTCTTGAAAATCCAAATGTCTTGAATATGAACAGGCAGCCAATATCCACAGAAAGTTAGTTTCAAAAGGAAATCAATTGAGAATCAAAATTCTTCAGCTGATGAAAGCATTCAAGGCCCAACCTAAAAGCAGAAAAAGCTGTAGCACAACACTCCACCCTGAATCAAATATTGTTAGACAAACCATAAAAGATACGAAAAAGCATCACAAATCAGTAATCCATAAATGCAGACGAGAAGTGGGCACAAAGCAAAAAGGTGTGAAATAAGAATTGACTGAACACAGAAAAGAAAGTGAATGA